TTGGTCACCCACCTCAAAGGGTTGTTGAGACAATAAAATGAAATAAGGGCGCAAAGCATTTTGTAAACTTTAAGGATTTTAAAAAAATAAAAATAGCAGCCAATACTATTCACCTCTGCACTGTTTGGTGTGGTGATAAGAGTTTGCCAAGAACATCTACATCAAGACACTTCTAGTGCTAATCTTACTGATAGCAGTGTGACCGCGGGCAAGCTATCTAACTTCTTCAGGCCTCAGTTTTCTCCTTTGTAAAGTGAAGTGGTTTGAAGGAAATGATTTTGAAGCTTCCTTCCACGTTATCTCATTTGAGCTTCATAACAATCCTGTGGAGTTGGTAGAACAAATATAATTGTTCCATCTTACATATTGGAAAACTGAGGCTCAAAAAGCTTAAGTGATTTGACAAATGTCACCCAGTTAGTGCATGGCAGAACTGGAGCTAGATCCTGGGTCTCTTGATATTTAAACCTTGTAGTTCACAGCCTAGCTATTGTGGTGTATGGATAGGTTTATATTTTTCTGTTTGTGTTTACAGATGTCAGTAACCATCCTGATATAACACATGACCATTTAAGCTTCTTCAGAGTGAAAATGGTCTCCCCTTCTAGAACCTCCTGAAGAATGGAATGCCATGCTGTGCACTCAGTGGGAGCTCAATGAATGTTGACTGTTGCATTTATTTGCCTGGGGAGGATAGGAAATGCCTTTTCCTGGAGTTCTTTAAGAATAGGATTGATTTATAGTTATGTGGGAAGGTTTCAGTGGAACTTGACTGAAGACAAGAGAATGGGCTAGAAAATGAATTGAGGCTTTACCTAGCCTCTTATTTTATGACAATATTGCTAGGATGAGTTTCTGGCCAGGTCAGACCATGAAATGAGGAAGAGTTGCTATCTGTTTTGGTGGAGGGAGTACCCACATATCCAAGTGTGGTTCACAGATGACACAGGCTTTCCAGATCACAAATAAGTCAGCGAATACCAATTTCTTTAGAACCTTTGGCCTGGGGAATCCACTGACATAACTGGTACATCCTCACAACACTCTTGTAAGGGAGGCAGCAAGCAGCTTGCATTTATAAAATAAAAACAAATAGAGTTATGTAGGTTGGGAAGGAGAGTCTTAAGCATTAGATAGCAAATCAATGACAGAGTTAGGAATAGTGTCCAGTTTCTGTGTTTTGCCAGACAGTCCCACCTTTCCTGGTGAAACTGATTTACTGGGTGGCCAGAGGGAACTGAGGTTAGATCCTAGAGCAGAGCCATAGGCTTGGGACATGAGCCCCTACCAATGGAGACCTAAAAGTCTTTGACATCATCTCCTTTGAGATTTGTTTGTCAATAACAGCAAAGACTTTTGCAGTCTTCTAAGTCTTCTGGGACCATAGGACCTAGTGACAGCAAGACCAGAGATGCTTAGCAAAAGCAACAGCTACTTATTGGCTTTTCTGATCTGGTGCACTTCTCCAAAAGGAGAATTTTTGGATCATAGGATCATAGCTCCAGAGACATGGGTTCAGATCTAGCCTCTTAGGCTTATCACCTGTGTGGTAAGTCCCTTAAACTCCTTGGGTCTCAGTTTCCTCATTTGTAAAATGATGGATTTGGACTAGGTGGCCTATGAGGTCTCTTTTAACTCTAAATCTATGATTCTCCCCCAAAGACATTTCTGTAGTCTTATTACTCTGGGGTTTTTTAGGCAATTGGGGTTAAGTGACTTGCCCAGGGTCATACAGCTAGTAAATGTCAAGTGTTTAGTCTGAGGCTGGATTTGAACTCAGGGCTTCCTGACTTCAAGGTCAGTGCCCTGTCCACTGCACCACCTAGCTGCCCCTTATTACTCTGGACCTAGACCCTGGGCCATCAGATTCTGTTAGCACATAAACTCTTGCCATGAAACCCTGTTTTGGGGGCAGAGAAGAGAGGAGGGGGAGACTAATATGGCCTATAATCCTGTAATCACTTAGTCTCATACCTTCATTTTACAGATGAGGAAACTGAGGCTGAAGGAGGCTAAATAATTTACCCAAAGTCAAATAGGCAGAGCCATGATTAAAACCCAAATCTTACTCCAAACTCAGCATTCTTTCCTTGCTGGAGGAAAGAAACTATAATAAGCTGCTGTGAGAGCTCCCTAACCAGCCTTCTAATGACGCAAGTCTAGAGGGGAGGCATTCTCACCACCACCACCAACAATAACAACAACAACATCTCTCTAAAGCCTGCTCGCTCTGGGACTAGATTCCTGGAAACAGTCAAGTTAAGTCAACCATCCTCCCCAACTAAGCCAGCAGACAGATTCTGTCAGCATCTTAACTGGTTCTGTGAAGCCCGGTTTGTGTGGGCACAGAAGTAGGGAAGGGAGAGAGGAGAGCATCAGATCTCCTGTAGGTAGATCTTAGGGGAAGATAAACCCAAGCAGCCATTCTCAGCTGGAACGTGCTTAGGGCTGGATCATAGGGAAGTCTGAGGACTTCCAGAGACTTTGATTCTCTACCCTAAAACCTGTAAACTGAATATAGTACAAGAAATAAGTGATACTTTCTCCACAGGATTAGGACTTCATTATGCATTTAAAAAGGCAAGAAACAAAAACAAAACAAAACAAAAAACAAACAAAAAAACCTGAAAAACTATTAAAAGAGGTGGAAATCAAGCTTTTATTTCTTTCCTTCCTTCTTTCCTCCCTTTTTCTTCTTTCCTTTCTTCTTTCCTCACTTCCTCTTCCTTCTTTCTACCCTTATTTCTTCCCTTTCTCTTCCTTCCTTCTTTTCCTTCTTTCTGAACAGAAAGTAGTGGGCATCCTTAGCAACCTACAGTAACATTTGAGAGCCTGAACAAACTTATTATCATCAGCTACTGCATGGCTAGAACTTTGGGGGGAAAGGAATAAGCAATTATATGGTGCCTACTATGTACCAGGCACTGTGCTAAGTGCTTTACAAATATTATCTCATTTGATCCTCACAAAAACCCTGAGAGGTAGATGCTGTTATTACTCTCATTTTATAATTGAGGAAACTGAGACAAACAGAGGTTAAGTGACTTGCTTAGGGTTACATAGCTAGTTAGTGTCTGAGGTCACATTTGAACTCAGATCTTCCTGACTCCAGGCCCAGGCCCAGAGCCCTAACCACTGTACCGCCAGCTGCCTCAATAACAAACAAATAAGACTGGATTTGGAGTCTTAAGACCCAGGTTCAAATTTCAGCTCTGCCCCCCTTATCACTTGTTATTGCCTTGGGCAAGTCACTTTGCAGCTCTTTTTGCTCATCTGTAAAATGAAGAGGGTGTAACTGAATGGACTCTAAGGTCCCTTTTGGATCTAAATCTATGAACTTGTAGGGGGATGCAATGAGGGATGCTTTCAAAGTATTTTTCTATGGTATTTAGTGAGTATAAAAAAACACTCAGAGGAGTAGCAGATAAGATAGATTTAATTCTTAGACTTCATGGAGATGGGCTAAAACATAAACAACACTCAGACAATTAATTGAGAAATACCAGCTCTTCCTACTCAAGCTCAGAGGCCCAGAGCCTAGGACCTTAGCACTCAGGGGACCTGTCCTCTCTGAACATGAGTGAAGGGTCTGTTTTCTGTACAGAAGCCAGGCCATCGTAACCCCAGCAACCCCACTGTACTGGCAGCTCTGGCTGACATTTCTGGAGCATGGGCTGTGACTGGTAAGGTCCTGTGATAGCTGGCAAAGTGGATTCCGGAGAGGTAGAGACGACCTAGGACCAGAAGAGAAACAAATAGTTGATTAGTGACACAAATACTTGACCAAGTATTGGTTGGTTTCCTAGATTTTCCTGTCTCTTGTAACCCTTCAAATCCTATAACCCTTCTTAGAGTGTTCTCTTTCTCAGGATAAAGATTCCTGATCCCACATGTCACTACAGTTTCCAGGTTCCTCACCATCCTGGTCATCCTCCTGTGAACAAATGACCTAGAAGTATTTCCTAGAAGTACCCTAGTGGACTAGAGAGGAGAGAGGACTGGCTAACTCATGGATGGAATGATGGAGAATTACAGAGGGACTCTTTTTTCCCTCCAAAGGCACTTGTCCCTAAGGGGGCCAGAGTTAACTTAGGGCTCCTGTCCCTGTCTGTCATGAATCTTATGTCTGGGCATGGGATTCCCAGGGAGACATGTGAGCTCATTCTCTTAGAAGGCTGAGAGACATGGAAAAAAAATTAGTTTTTCTTTGCCTTCCTATATCTGGATGGTGGAACGTAGGAGTATCTGAGTGAGTCTAAATCAGTGACATAGGACTTCTGGAAAGTCAAACATATTCCCAGAAAATGAGAGAATCATAAGATTTAGAGCTAAAAAAAACCTTTTTTTTTTTTTTAAACAGATAAGGAGACTAAGACCTGGAGAAATAAAGTGACTTACAACGTCATAGAAGTAATAAGGGGCAAGGAGCAGATTTTGGATTTGAACCCGGGGCTCTTTTCTCTGCGTGCAACTCTACTTCCTCTGCCAGCATGCTTTGCTATTTCCATCGGAAACCTTACTCCCCAAGCTATAAGAGATCTCACATGCCACTGGGCCACGTACCACAAGAGCACCTGACCCTCTCCCCAGCACCAAGTCTTCCTGTTTTTATCCTCCAACCTGTCCTACTAGTCTTCCTGAGAGAAGAGAACCATGGGGCACTTGGATGAGGAAATCTGGATGGTGGAAGCATTACTGGAGAAGAAGCTACCTTTCCACTGGTAGAATATTCCTAGTCCCTTTTGCCCATTGCATCCTTTGCAACACTGCCTTGAACAGAGTAGACCCTTGATAAATATTGGAGTGAATGAAGGGGAAATTACACCAGCGGCTAGGACTAGGAATCATGGTGTGACCTTCAGCACAGTCTAAAGGTTTCTGACTTAATTGGGCCTAAGGGTTTCTGGCTAAATTGGGTCTAGGGAGGGGCGGGGTGGCCAAAAGACCTGAGGAATATATTTAAACCATTGAAGGTTCATGAATACCTTCCAATAGAAATTGGATAGCAGGGTATCTTAATTCACAAAATAATGGGGTTGGGCTAGATCATATTTAAAGTTTCTTTTGATTCTGACTTTCCCTTATTCTATGAAGATTAGATTAGGAGACACCCCAGCCCCCAATCACTGTCCTCCCTAGTTCCAAATTTGAGTCTGGAAATTGTCTCTCAATTAAATGGTTTGAATTTCTCATGGAGACACATAGAGGAAGAAATATTGTACCTGGTATAGAGTAGTCAACTCAGAGGAGTGCGGAGATATTGCCCAGGAAGCAGGTTCAGCGTCTTTTTCCCAGTGTAACTTGGGTGGGGTCTGTGTTCCGGGACAGGCTGGGGAAGGATTCCCAAATTCTGCAGCTTGATGTCTTCCTGCAGGCAGGTCTAGTCTGGTTGGTGATCCCAAGCAGCAAGAAGGTGAACCCCAAGACATGGCATTGAGGTTCTGCTCCATACACTGCTTGGGTTGGGGCAGAACTAATGGGCAGGAAGGTGGGGACCCCCAGGCTTCAGGGAGCTGGGGAGAATAGGTCCTAGGAGCTTGGGAGACTGGGCTGAGGCTCTGGGTCCGGATTGGACAGCAGCCTAGCCTGTCAGGACAGAGTGGGCAGCTCTGCATTGTCCCTTCCCTTCTCCGGCACCTTAGGCTCTCCTCGCTGAGTCCCAGAAGGGCTGACAGGTGGCCAATGTAGCGGATAGCCAGCCGCAAGGTCTCAATCTTAGTCAGACTCTGTCCAACAGGTGCCACTGAGGGTGGTAGATAGCGCCGTAAATCATGCAAGGCCCGGGAGAGGTTGCGCATCCTCAGCTTCTCACGCTCACTGGCACTCTGCCTCTGCCCACTGGCTGTGCCACCTTGCTCCTTTCTGTTCCTTTGGAAAGGGGCAGAAGTAGGGGTCTCTTGAGTGTGGCACCCCAGAGGTTGGGGAAGGCTTTCTGTGGTGCTTGGGTGTCCGTAGGATGGGGATGAGCTATATGAATCAGAAGAGGAGGTAGGGGATGTTGAGTCTGAGTGACTGCCCCAGCCCCAGCCCCAGTCCTGCGGTAGCAGCCAATCCTCCTGCCTGGTGAATTGCTGGTGAGGAGAGTTAGCCATGGTTGGCGGGCAGCTCCAAGGAGAGACTGGGGAGCCAAACAGGCAGGCTGGGGTTTTTATCCTGAGACCAAGGTGTGAGATGGCCCCCTGTCATGTGGCAAGGAGGTGTCAAAACCCACAGAGCCCAGGGAAAGAATGGGACAGAGGGGCCCTGGGAAACAGAGCCCATTTGCAGAGGTGTGGATTCTGACTCCTCCACTGCTTTAATTGAACCTCCATAGAGCAAGGAAAGTGTGGAAAGGACAATTCACATCTGAACGGCAGCTGTTAACATTCTCACCATCCTCCCCACCCCACTCCAGGACACCCCACTATTTCTATTCTCCCCACTAACCCAAGACAGCCCAGATCTGCCTTCAGCAAGTTACCCTGGGAAGGAGATACCATGATCAAGGACCTCTGCCTTGGGAAATACCATGGATCATTGTCTATGTAGGAAGGGGTGAAGGCAAAGGCCTTCAGGAACTCAGCTATTGGAATGATGATTACCAGGATAATAAAATGACTTATCATGCTTATCATCCTTTCCCCCATCATTCTTTGGCATTGATGGAGTGACATCATTCCCATGCACTTGGCTTTGTGCTACAGGTCTAAGCCCATTCCACTTGCAGCTGGGGAAACTGAAGCACAGAGTGCTGAATTACTTGCCTACGGTCACCGAGCTGGAGTGGAGGGTTGGCCATGTTTAGAGCAAGGAGCCTTGGGTTCCCTTTAAGCTCATACCTTCTGATCTTCTAAGTAAAGGTAGACAAGATAGGACATTGTTCTAGATAGTATGTCTTAGTTTCCACTTCTATGTCTAATGTGTACCTCCCATGAGCTATGTCCCCAGCACAGTGCCTAGCACAGAGTAGCTGCTTAATAAATGTTGGTTGATTTGAGAAAGCAAAATCAGATTTTTCATGCATTGTAGAGGATTGGGATAAAGCTCTGTGAGATGACTGGGGGAAAGGACTGAAGTAAAAGTCTTGTTGTTAAGTCATTTTTTCATCATGTCTGACTCTTCATGACCCCATTTAGGGTTTGCTTGGCAAAGATACTGGAGTGGTTTGCCATTTCCATCTGCAGCTCATTTTACAGATGAGGAAACTGAGGCAAACAGGGTTTAAATGACTTGCCCAAAGTTACACAGCTAGTGTCTGAGGCCAGATTTGAACTCAGGTTTTCCTAATTCCAAGTCCAATGCTCTATCCACTGTGTCACCTAGCTGCCCCAAATGGTGCTAGAAAGCCATTGGAAACTTTTGATCATAGTGGGTGTGGGTGGCAAGACTCTCCCAAATATCAGGAGACCTGGCTTTGCTATTGTGTCATATCACTAACTCACCATGTGACCTGCAAAGTCACTTCTCTGTTTCCTCCTCTCCAAAGAGGAAGGCTTTGATGATCTCTGATGTTCATTCTATGTCCTATAATTAACATTAAGGTCCTATAATTCTCTAGAATTCTGTGATTAAAGAGGTATGTTAGGAAATTTAATGTGGCAATTTGCACAGGATGGATTATAGGTGGGAGGCTGTGGAGCCAAGGGAGACCAGCCAGGAGGCTATTGTAATACTTTGGGCATGAGGCAATGAAGGTACGAACCATAATTGTGGCAGTGGGGATGGAAAAGAAGGGAAGGACACCACTGTGAAACTTAAGAGCCTGGTATCCTCCTATCCTCTAGAAATTCCTAAGAGTAGACTGAAAGATCTTGGGAAATAGCTACAAAGTAGAGCCCAGCTCTGTTGTACCATTACACTAATCAGCCAGCCTTTGGCATATTGGGTCCATTCAGTCCTGGGCCACTATATCTTCCAGGAAGATAGTTATTTCTCTTAAATGGACTACGTCCAGAAGAGAGTGAGCTGGATGATGATAAGACTCAAAGCCATGTCACAGGACCAAGGGTTTAAGGAAAACAAACCAGAAGAAGATGAAAGGTAGGGAGTGGGGGAGACAAATGATAACAGTTTCCAAATGTATGAATGACCATCATGCAGAAAAGGGATTCTATATGTGAACTAGGACCAAAAGGATGAAGTTATAGGGAGGTGGATTGGGCTTAATTAATGCCAAAAATGTTCAAATAGTCAGAGTGGTCCAACAATGGAATGGGCTGCATCATGAGGTATTCACTTTCATTTTATTCTTTATTGATAAACTTTGCTTTTTCATGGCAGACAAACCCACAGAAATTCACCAGCCACCCACAAAGCATATTCTCCAAAAGCAGTTAAGTAAAACAGCATGAAGGAATGATCCAGACTGATACTCTGAGCAACCTTAAACTATTGCAAGTTGCTGCTTGTTAAAAGAAAGTTTTGTGCTTTAACTTTAATCAATCAATACTAACATTGTTCATTGTCGCTGACCTGAGCCTTGTCAACATCGTCTTCATTTACATAGTTGTAGTCATAGTATATGTTGCTCCTCTGGCTAAATTTCATTCAATAAGAATCACTTCACACAAGTCTGCCCTTATTTCTCATGTTGCTGCAAGGCAGTTAGGGTAGAGGACTTGGAGTTGGGAAGGTCTAGGTTTGAATCCCTTTTTCGACACTAACTCTGTGACCCTGGGGAAAATCACTTAACCTCAGTTTCCTCATCTGTAAAATGGGGGTTATGATATCATCTACCTCAAAGGGTGGATGTAAGGTTCAAATTCAATATGTGCAAATTACTTTAAAAACCTTCAAGTGCTTCATAAATATTAGCATTTATTGTTGGAGGCATAATGGATAGAGATTGAGCCTCAGAGCTAAGAAGACCTGGATTTGAACCTCATTGTTGACATCAATGGGCTTTGTGACCTAGCGCAAGTTATTTAAACTTTCAGTGATCTAAGCAATTCTTTAAGACGATAAGTTGCAAAGATGGTGCCAACCTGCACTACTAAAGGGAATTCCACACCTGGGAATTCCCTATGCCAGTGAAATCACAAGTCCAGTTCCTACCATTGTCATTGCTATTGTTGTTGTTGTTGTCATATTTCCTTGAATACTTCCTTGTAGAACAGTAACATTCTATTACATTTATGTAACACAATTTGTTTAGCTGTTTGGAGCAACATAAATTGTTTCCAACTTTTAGCTATCACAAATAACGTTGCTTTAGATGTTTTGTACAGATAAGTTTTTTCTTGGAGTCAGTAATCTTCTTGTATCATAGACCCATGAGTGGGATCAAAGGAATCAGATTAGAATAATTTTGTAACTTTCCTTGTTATAATTCAAATTCCTTTCCAATTTTATTGCTCTGATAGCATGTCTATTTTCCCACAGATCCTCCAACACTGTTTTTCAATTTTTTAAATATATCAGCCAATTTGATGTAAGACAATGCCTCAGAATTATTTTAATTGATATTTCTCTATTTACTATCATTTTGAACACTTTTTCAAATAATTATTGATCATTTGTTGATCAACGACTTTGAATTTTGTCTGAGATATTTATCAGATGTGTGACCCTGGGCAAGTCCCTTAACTTCCTTTAACCTCAGTTCCTTCATCTTTAATATGGGGATAATAATAGCACCTACTTCACAGAGTTGTTGTGAGGATAAAATTAGATTACATTAGTAAAGCACTTTGGGACCCTTAAGATGTCATACAAATTTGTTAGCTAAACTGATTATTATTATATCAGCTTTTTTCAGAGATAGTTAACACAATACTTTGGATAATCAATGGAAACACTGGGTTCTCCATTTGTATCCATGGAATGTCAGGAAAATTTGAGGAAGGTCCCTTGCTCATTGGATGCCCTGTGGGGAATTTATGGGAGGACAATGGCAAGAATCACCTAAGGCAGGCATAGATGGGTTGTTATCTGCATCTTTGGAGGGGATACCTACATTGGTGAGAACACAGATTCATCTGAGTCTTTGAATTTAATATAAAGATTTTTTTTCTCAGTCCAAATAATTTTTCTTATTCTATCTGCATTGATTTTGCTTTTGCAAAAGATTTTGTATTTTTATATACCTAAAGTTGACTAATCTGTCTTTCATAATAATATTGATCCCATGACTGGTTACAAATTATTTCCCTATCTATAGCTTTGAAAAATATGACTTTATATGCTTTCACTTTTTTCATGGTATAACTTAATATATGTATATATAAGTATATCTATATATATGTCTATGTCTATATCCTGTGTCCATTTGAAATTTTTTATGTTATATGATATAAATTAGAGGTCTAAACTCTTTTTCTATGAAACCACCATCCAATTTTTCTACCAGTTCTAACTGAACAAAGAAGTATTTCCCCAGGAGTCTTTGTTTTGGGGTTTGAGCAATTCCTCCCCCTCCCCCCACTTAACAGGATTGTATTTTTTCCAAATACATGTAACAAGAGTTTTCAACATTCACTTTTATAAGATTTTGAGTTCAAAATTTTTTTGTCCCTCTCTCCTTCCCCTCCCCTTTCTCCAAGACAGCAAGCAATCTGATATAGGCTATACATGTACGATCATATTAAACATATTTCCACATTAGTTGTGTTGTGAAAGAAGAATCTGAACAAAAGGGAAAAATCATGTGAAAGAAAAAAAAGAGGAGAAAATAGTATGCTTTGATCTGCATTCAGACTCCATAGTTCTTTCTCTGGATATGGATAGCATTTTCCGTCATGAGTCTTTTGGAATTGTCTTAGATCATCGTATTGCTGAGAAGAGCTAAGTCAATCATAGTTAATCATTGCACAATGTTACTGCTACTGTGTACAGTGTTCTCCTGGTTCTGCTCACTTCACTCAGCATCAGTTCATGTAAGTCTTTCTAGTTTTTTCTGAAATCTGCTTGCTTATCATTTCTTACAGCGCAATAGTATTCCATTACATTCATATACCACAACTTGTTCAGTTGTTCTCCAATTGATGGGCATCCCCTCAACTTCCAATTCTTTGCCACCACAAAAAGAGCTGCTAAGAAGATTCTTGTGCATGTGGGTCCTTTTCCCTTTTTTAAGATGTCTTTGGGATATACACCTAGTAGTGGTATTGCTGGATCGAAAGGTATGCACAGTTTTATGGCCTTTTGGGTATAGTGCCAAATTGTGAGCAATTCAGTTTTCAGGGTACTGAGAGAGAAATTGTCAAGCTATCTCAAAGAGGGGAAGATTTCAAAAGAATGGAAAAGATCACACTTGGTACTATTCCTCATACCCTCCCCCCCAAAAAAAGGATAACTGAGGTGACATCATTTACCAACCCACATATCTACTTTTTCTACAAGTTTTATGAGAATGGTCTAGTATAAGTGGAGCACTTGATTAATATCTGGTAGCAAGAGACTGATTTTATCCCCTTCTCCACTGGCCTTCATCATTTGGGATAATATTTTCCTGGACTGGACTCTTTGGGATAAGTACTTGGTGACATGGTCTTGAAGTCTATCCCTTCCTATTCAACGAAGAGGCATGGAGAAGGAGAAAGGATGACAACCATGCACCAGTCACTGTTCTAAGCACTTTACAAATACTGTATCACTTGATCCTCACAATAGCCATGAGGAGTGGGTGCTATTATTATCCTCTTTTTTATAGTTGAAGAAACTGAGGCAGACAGAAGTTAAACGACTTGCTCAGGGTCACACATGGCAAGTGTCTGAGGCTGGATTTGAACTCAGGTCTTCCTAACTCCAGGTGCTTACTTATTGAGTGTCTACCATCAACCAAATAGATATTTGACCTGCAGCTAGTGAGAGCTTCCTTTAGGTGGGCAGTAGTACATTGGTTATAATGTCTGTTAATAATAATGAGAGCTGGCATTGACATCATGTTTTATGGCTCGCCAAATACTTTCCATCTTTGTTCCCATTTGATAACCATGGTGGCCCTGTGAGTTAGGTAATGCAAATATCATTATCACCATTTTCAGAAGAGGAAACTGACTGAAGGCCCAGGAGCAGGAGCAATCGTAAAGCAGTACAAAGGGGGATAGTAAACAATTT